AGGGTTTCACTTCCAGTTGGGCCTTAGTGACTTGGGCTTAGACCATATAGCCATTGCCAGACTCAGCTCGTTTTTTTTGCACTTTTGTCCTTCTTTACGGCCCTTTTAGGTTTTTTAGGTTTCCTTCACGTTCCCTTGTGCTTCGCAACGAAACTTTTTCCGGGCACTTCGGGCCAGGCAGTGGACCAAAAGTTTTGACTTGCAGCGTGCCGCTGCACAGGGCCAATTCCCAAGTTCAAGTCTAGCGTCCAGATGGGTGAGGGACTGATCCAGATGAGTTACCCGAAACTCGGTTAGGTCAGGCGTCAGCCTTTCCCCTTGAGGGGAGACAAACTCGGAAGCCTTGATTGAGGTCATCATCCTACTTGTATGTCGGGCCGGGGCTAAGAGCTGCGGCCAGCTGGGAATTGGGATCCGCTTTTGGATGTGGCTATAGCGGAAAGGGGCTTGTGACCTGAGTTATGACAGTCAGGGTATCTCAGCCTGACGTGACCGATTGCACAATCAAGCAGGGATTTTAGTGCCTGACTTGCCCTTCTTTGGGTGGAATTCGGAGGTTTTCATGTGTAATTTGCATTCTGTCTCACACACAGCGTACGCAAGGGCAACCAGAGGTAGCTAATCATCAAGAGGAAATCGTCAGGGAAGTGCTGACTGCACTTTCAGTTTTCGCATGATGGTTGCGGTTGCTTTGTGGCTCAGTCGGTAGCCGGCCCTTTGCTTGCCTCCGCACCATGCAACTGAAAGTGTACCTGGCGAGCGGAAAGAGCTGCTCCATTGCACTGCCTCCCGAGTCGAGCATTCGTGAGCTGAAGGCTGAGGCGCAGCAGCAGCTCGAGCGCCGCTTTCTGGCTTCCTGTTCGGAAGTCAGGAGCTGGACCCATCGCTCACTTTGGCTGACGCTGGCCTGCGCGATGGGGACAGTATCACCGCAATCGCGCAGCTCGTGAAGCTAGCTTCCACTTCGCAGGCATTCGCGCTTCATGTCGAAGCAGGCTCTGTGGTGACTTGGGGCGCTCTAGCTTTTGGCGGCGACAGCAGTAGGGTGCGAGATCAGTTGCTGCGTGTCCAGAACATTCGGGCAACTGTCGCTGCCTTTGCTGCCATCCTGGACGACGGCTCCGTGGTGACTTGGGGCAATCAACCCTGGGGCGGTGACAGCCGACAGGTTCGAGAGCAGTTGGTGCAGGTCCAACAGATCCAATCCACGCATTATTCTTTTGCTGCTATCCTTGCTGACGGCTCTGTGGTGACTTGGAGCGACTCTAGGGGCGGTGACAGCAGCCAGGTGCAAGAGCAGTTGGTGCAGGTCCAGCAGATTCAAGCAACTCAGAGTCCGACGGGTCTGTGGTGACTTGGGGAAGTCATGGTGGTGGCGGTGGTGGCAGCCAGGTGCAAGAGCAATTGGTGCAGGTCCAGCAGATTCAAGCAACTCAGGGTGCTTTTGCTGCCATCCTAGCCGACGGGGGCGATCCAGGACAGGGCGGGGACAGCAGCCGGGTTCGAGAGCAGTTGGTGCAGGTCCAGCAGATCCAAGCAGCTAGCATTGCTTTTGCTGCCATCCTGGCCGATGGCTGTGTGGTGACTTGGGGCAATCCTGGCGGTGGCGGTGACAGCAGCCAGGTGCAAGAGCAGTTGGTGCAGGTCCAGCAGATTCAAGCAACTGCGCTTGCTTTTGCTGCCATCCTGGCCGACGGCTCCGTGGTGACTTGGGGCAATCAAACCTGTGGCGGTGATAGAAGCCAGGTTCGAGAGAAGTTGGTGCAGGTCCAGCAGATTGAAGCAACTCAGAGTGCTTTTGCTGCCATTTTGGCCAACGGCTCTGTGGTGACTTGGGGCAATCCTGGCGCTGGCGGTGACAGCAGCCAGGTGCGAGAGCAGTTGATGCAGGTCCAGCAGATTCAGCAACTCACAGTGCTTTTGCTGCCATCCTGGCCGATGGCTTTGTGGTGACCTGGGGCAATCGAGACTGTGGTGGTGACTGCAGGCAAGTGCGAGAGCAGTTGGAGATTTATTAGCTTAACTCTTTGTCAGCCCCGTAAAGCGAGACGGGCCAAACCTGAAGCGAAGTGGCTATACACAGCTCTTTCTTGAACAAGTGAGAAATCAATGAAACACACACCGGCACAGACCCCAGATAGCATACCAAGGCTACGAACCAGGACGCAGCGCCGCAATGGTTCCAGCACATCATGAGGATGTTGACAGCAGCATTCCGCTGATACAACAGCGCTACAGCTAAAGCTGGTTGTCCTGATGAGTTCAACAGCATCAGAATGACGCCGACAGCATCCTAATGATGTCGACAGCATCATGATGACGCGCACCGCACCGTCACCGGCGCCTCAAGCAACACCCCGAACAACACCCCAAGACAGCACCCGGACCAGTACCCCAAACTGCATGCCCCTACTAGCACCTTGCCGTCGAGCTCGACAAAATGCGCCCGCGCCGTCACCAGCACCTCAGACAGCATCCCGAAACAGCACCCCAAAACAGCACCTGCGCCAGCACCCCAAACTGCATGCCCCCCCAGCACCCACCGTCAGACGTCAATCTCGCAAGAATGCACCTACACTGTCAGCAGCACCTCAGACAGCACCAGCCCAAAGCAGCACCTGCTCCAACCCCTATGGCTTTTAGCTATCCTGGGAATGCATGAAAAGAAATAATGAAATGAAGGAAATGAGAGGAAAGGAAAGGACATGAAAGGAAATTATGTGAAATGGAATGGAATGGAATGGAATGGAATGGAATGGAATGGAATGGAATGGAATGCATGAATGAATGGATTAATGAATGAATGAATGAATGAATGCATACATGACATGAACAATGAAAAGAAATGGCATGACATGAAATGAAACGAAATGAAATGAAATGATGTAAAATGGAATGGAATGGAATGGGAATGGAATGGAATGGAATTAAATGAAATGACATGAAATGATGTGAATTGAAATGGAATGGAATTGGAATGGAATGGAATTACATGAAATGAAATGAAATGGAATAGAATGGAAGGGAACAAAATGAAATAATGAATGCATGAATGAATGAATTGATGAATGAATGAATGCATGAATGAAGTGAAATGAAATGAAATGAAGTGAACTGAATGAGTGAAGTGAAGTGATGAGCTGAAGTCAAGTGAAATAAATGAAATGAAATGAAATGAAATGAAATGAAATGAAATGAAATGAAATGAAATGAAATGAAATGAAATGATGTAAAATGGAATGGAATGGAATGGGAATGGAATGGAATGGAATGGAATTGCATGAAATGAAATGAAATGATGTGAAATGGAATGGAATGGAAGGGAACAAAATGCAATAATGAATGAATGAATGAATGAATGAATGAATGAATGAATGAATGAATGAATGAATGAAGGAAGGAAGGAAGGAAGGAAGGAAGGAAGGAATGAATGAACGAATGAATGAAATGAATGAATGAATGAATGAATGAATGAATGAATGAATGAATGAATGAATGAATGAATGAATGAATGAATGAATGAATGAATAAAAGAATTGACATGAAATGACATGACATGAAATGAAATGAAATGAAATGAAATGAATTGAACATGAAATGAAATGAAATGAAATGAGATGAATGAAATGAATCGAAACGAAATGAAATGAAATGAAATAATGAATGAGTGAGTGAGTGAATGAATGAATGAATGAATGAATGAATGAATGAAGGAAGGAATGAATGAATGAATTGAATGAATGCACGGATGCACGGATGAATGAATGAATGAATGAATGAATGAATGAATGAATGAATGAATGAATGAATGAATGAATGAATGAATGAATGAATGACATGACATGACATGACATGACATGACATGACATGACATGACATGACATGACATGACATACATAATTAATTAATTAATGAATTAATGAATGAATGAATGCATGCATGCATGCATGAATGAATGATTGAATGAATAAATGAAATGAACATGAAATGAATTGAAATGAATTGAAATGAAATGAATTGAAATGAAATGAAATGAAATGAAATGAACTGAATGAATGAACGAATGAATGAATGAATGACTGAATGAATGAATGAATGAAGTTCATATGTACAGAAATAACATAGATATACATATGCATAAAGAAATGAATTAAGTAGGCCATTAACTGATTAGCTGAAATGATTACCTAGACAGATCGAGATGTTTGGCTGTCTCATTTTACCAACCTTGCAATAGAGGGTTCTGCTGGGATCCGGACGTTTAGGTGCTCGTCCCACATTGCCAGCGTTTGGTAAAGGTACGACGCTAGGGTCACAAGGCAATGCGCTGGCTACAAATAAAATGCCCCCTGTACCCCGTATGTACCGAGCAATCTGCATTCCATTTGAGGCAAAGTACAACCAATGTTACAACCAATATTCGGGAGACAAAGGCAGCCAGCGTTTGGTACAATAACGCAACTTGACTGTTTGCCTCCTGTGCGCCGTGCTCCCCCTCGCCCATACTCCGCATCCGTACGTGATTGCGCACCGAAGCATGGCGTTTGAATTTGCATACTGGCAGGGGTAAGCCGAGACCCAATTTTTGCAGAAAAGCAGGAGGCCCCCGTGCTTGGACTGCGTGTCAACTTTCAAAAGCCAACTGAAGCCATTTGCTGAGTGATCTGGCGCAGAAACTCCTAGGCTTGTTCTGGGCATGGGGCCTTAGTCTCAAGTAGGTTTTGAAAGGGCGCAAACAAGGCCATTTTGTGGGGAGCGTGGGTTTGGTAGGGTTCTTTCGGCTGGATTGTCCCTTTGCGTTCCATCAGGCCGGCCCCTGCAGAAAGCTGTCCAGGCTCAAGGGATACAGGATGAAGAGGAAGCAGAAGAATCAGTACTCGCCTCCCTGCTCCACCACCCAGTTGACTAGCGTCATTCAAATTCACATGCCATGCCAGACAAGTGCTGACATCGCGCTTCATTCGCACATGCACGCAGGGCCCTTGCTCAAAGCATCCGCACCCACCGTCCAGCTGCTTTAGTTTGCGGTTTCATGGGCATTGCTCTGCACCAAGACAGGCACGTGACATCACACATTTGGCTTCCTTTTGGTTTCCTTTGAATCAACCACCCCCCAGACGGGTACCCTCAAAGGAAGGCGCACCCAACGAGTTCATTCCTTTGCGTGCGTGTGAGCGCGCGCCTGTGAGGCGATGCTTTCCGGCAAGCAGAGCCTTTGGCAGGTGCTGCTGGACGTGGTAACCTGTACGCGGGAGGTGTGCGGCATGCATGGGTTGGTTGAGAAGAACCAAGCGGAAGGCAGGTTTGGTTGTTCTAGCAAACAAAGCGCGGCTCTTTTTCAGTGAGGTTTCACGAAAGTGGTTCAGACGTGGTTGAACAGATGGTTATCCCAGATTGTCAATGATCATGTGACGGGTCAAGGGTCATCTTGGCCGCCTTGGGGCGCCCTTGTCACTCGTCTGGTCAAATCCCACGGAAAACATAATGGTTGACCCAACTTAGATGGTGAAACTCCTTATGGTAAACATCTAGTGGAGCCTTGTTGGAGTGGTTTGAATCTGAGGGAATTGACAGGAGCCCAAGTGCCGGAGCCAGTGGTCCTGCAGTTGCAAGGACGGCAGTGCTCGGAGCCCAGCCGCGTGTCTGTTCGTTTTCCGTCAGATGGCTGAAGCTATGAGGGGGTCCTGCTTCAGAGGGGCAGGCAGTTTTGCGAGTTCGGGCCAGGTTGCTGCAGGTGCTGGTCGGGGTGCTGTTTGGGGTGCGCTCAAGGTGTTGTGGTCGTTGCTAGCAGTGCTTGTTTGGCGATGCAGCCTGCTGTTATGATACCGGGTGATGGTCATGTGAGTGCTGGTCGGGGTGCTGTTTGGTGTGCTCAGGGCGCCGCGGTGGTTGCTGCGTGGCTTGTTTAGCGATGCAGTCAGGGTGCAGGTCAGGGTGCTGTTGTGGGTGTTGGTTAGTGCTGGTCAGGGTGTTGGTAAGGATGCTGCTTGGCATGCTGGTCAAGGTGCTGACCTAGGCAGCGTTGTGGCTGTGATGGTATCATGAGCCGTTGAATTCATTTGGATTGCTGTGTGCGCTTAATATATGCGGCGCAAAATGGTTCGTTGCGGCCACGGTACTGAGGACGCCGGCCTGGCGGGCATTTTCAGCAGGTTGTGGGCGGCTCGAGGGGGGCAGAAGGTGGGCAGAAGCCCCGTGCAAAGGTTTACAGTTTTCGCCCAAGGAGAAGAAGCAAGCCAGTAGGGGTTTGGGACGGCCAATTCTCAATCTGCTCGCCCTCATTCATTGCAAGCGGTGAACTGGGTATGTGAGTGGATGCGCATATTTGTTTCATCGTCTAGCCTCTGCAGCTGGTAGGCAGCCCAACGACGGATTTACATGCGGACCCCAGAACCCCGCATATGAGCACTTGTGGTAGATGGGTTGAAACTTGTCTTAAGGCACCCACCCCCTTGGAGACATTTTGGGTTCACTCTTGACAGAGTCGGGCTTTGGACCTACCCCTCGAAGCGACATGCTTCACCTTCCAATCTTGGTTTGCGTGTTTCTCAAAAAATGGGTGTGCCGTAAATAGTTGTTGGTTTGCTTTTTCCATTTAAATACCGAACCAAACACGGGCCCACTATTTTGAGAAGCTCCCAAATGAGGGGAACACCCACAGATGGCCTACGTTGCGAGGCCATGGGCTTCCATCGAGGACCGGGAACAGCGGGTGACTGGACATTTGGATTGGTTTGTGCGGTTCATTTCGGGCTTTGAAAGGGAAACCAACTTGAAGCCACCCATGTTGGAAAGTTGGGAGGCAAACCCCTTATAGTTCCATGCTCCCTTTTCAGGAGACTAGCTTGCCCTGAAGGTAATTGGGGGATCCAACAGGTGCCTAAAATAAAATCCCATTGCAATGAACAAGGCAGGACACAGTGCTTCAAAGGGCTCCATTCAGGGTAGTGTGTTTGTTTTCGGGAGGAGGAGTGTTTTGGCTTCTATTTGGCTCCTGCGCGCAGCGAAAATTAGAATAATTAGGCACTACCGGCAGAGGATTTGTCTTGCTGAGCTACCAACAACGGCTTCGGATAGGCAAAGGCCACGCACAATCCCGACTTTCTACTTGGAAATTGGTTCAACGAACGCATGTTTTAGCCATTCAATTGGAACTTCCTTTTTTTGAGGTGTAGATGGGTGAATGAGAGAGAGGCGTGAATGACTCCCTGTGCAACGCACTACACGTACTTAATGGCAACATTGGCGAGACCATCCTGAAGTCAGAAGGAAGCCAGCCACAAAGAGAACTGTCTGTTTGTTTGTTGGTGTGTTTCTTTGTTTGTTTGCTTGAGGCCAAAAGGACAACCACAATTTGTTCCCATGGCTTGACACACACAAATTGATCCTTAAACCCAAGAAGTAACCACCCGCACTGCAGGACGATGGCGGTTCCAGCGACGAGGACCAAGCCAGCCGCGCCCCAAAAACGGGTGGTTTACCCGGTTTACTTTTAAACCCAATCGAAACATGGTACCTAAGCAAGAGAGCACCCACCTATTGTAGGCCTCTTTTTCAAATGGATGCACAGCTTGGACGCGAGCAGCATGTTCATGCAGATGGAAAGCCACTTGAGACGTCTCTCCGGAAATCAATCGCCAAGAACACCGAGCAGAAAGCAAGACCGACATGCAACTCGACATCTCTTTTTGTCCCCAAACCATTTGCCAGGCTGATTCATGTGGGGTCCTGGGCACTTGGTCACTTCCGTTTGATTATAATTTGGGTTATGCACTTCCTAAGGCTCCATACTGGGCCTGTAGCCCCATAACCAAATCATTCGGCGTACCTATTTTACATCTCGAGCACTCGCATCGGCCTGGTTGCTTGGTTGTCAAGGGCTCTCGTGGCCCATCGTATCCCCCTCCCCCCCAATTTAGGTGACTATAAGGCCTGCTAAGAACCAATCGGATCCTTTGGGGGGTTGGCTTCGCAAGGCCTGGAGTGGAAGCCCACGGTGCTCTGCGCGGACGGTTCCCGATACACGGGGCAGTGGCCCGCACCCCCAGCGCCAGCAAGGGCGCCGACTGGTGCCTTCGCCCGTCGGTCCGTCGGTCGCTTCGGAGGTCGTAACCTTTGTGCCCTGCAGTCAAATGATGATGATAGAATTTGTGTGCGTGTGTGCGCGTGTGTGCGCATTCTGTGAGCATTCGTTCAGTCTGGCCCAACCGTATATCAGGCAATCCCCATTTTGGGGCGTCCAAATCCCTATTGTGAGACATACCGGCACGTCTCAAAGACCGTGGAACCCTAAAATGTCTGGTTTCCCTGTTTTGGTTTCCGCCCCAACACGGGCATTCGCACGTCCCCCTGACATGTTCTGACGGCCTGAGGAAGGGCCCCGCCTGGCAGGGCGAGGGCCAGCCAGGGCCCCAGAGTTGGGTTCCTGTTTGCTTCACACCCGCACCAATCCAAACGAACTAAGGATGAGGTCAGTGCCAAAACTAGGACCCCTGCATAATGGCGGGTTTCCTCTTGATTTCACTTTACTTAGGAAGCTTAAAGAGGTTACCCTCGGCAGAAACATCTCATATCCAAATTGATGGCCCCGGGAGCGGTTTCCTCTAAACATGCTTTTCTTCCCAGACATATAGCTTTGGAGCCCAAGAGGAATGATCAGGCCCGCCCTACCGATGTGCGAAGCGGGTCACAACCATTGCCATCTACGGAAGTGTTTGAAGGCTTGGCTGGTTTTCTGCCAGCCTCAAGTACCCACCCCTCCATTCCCTACTGGCCGGGCCGGACGTTGGCTCAACCTTCCCGACAGGCTCCATGGCATGCGCCCTCCGCCGAGAGGGGCAAGCCTTTCAGGGTTAAAAACCCAAGGAGCGTCTGATGGACCCCGGCAAAAGGCACAGATTTATAGTAAGCTCACGGGCTCGTCTGATTTGGCTCGACTGTGTAATTGCTCACCATGTTTAGCAGGGATCCAGTAGAATCAACATGCTCTAAAGCCGGATTTGTTCAAGAGCAAGCGGAAGTGGACGATATTCAGAAACATTCTTACTGCTGCCAGCAACCATTCCAGTATGTATGACAATCGTTGAAGCCATGGGTGAAGAGTTCCAAGTCCTGGTTTCGGTACAGTACCGTTTTTTTCTCACAGAAACCGGGTCGGCCCCCCGATCGCATGTTTCTGAGGTTGCCCCAGGGTCATGCGATTCCCCAAAAGGACTCCTCGAATGGATGTGATTCAGGTTCCATCTTCGTTCTGGGTGAATGAAGCTTCCTTGTTGCGACCTTTCCCAGCAACAACTTCAATCCTATCCAACAAGAAGCAACTCACAAGAATGCATCGGCCTTTCCAAAATGGAGCACCCGGGTTTCCTGGTGTTTTCCTGCTGTCACCATCCAGGGCCTCGATTTTAGGTAGCACTCAGCACTCCCTTCCTAGCGATGACCTCCACAGGCTGGAACGCGCCGACGGTAGCACCTACGAAGGCGTGCGGAAAGTGATGTGTGACATGGAGCGCATCCCCAATGCTACGAGCTTGGGGCGCGCCATGGTTTGAGGGTACCTTCTTTGCGTCGGTTTCAAGGGAAGCCAAAAGGATATCATCTGGGGGGTGCCCCGCGAAGGGGCCTTTCCACCCAGTCGAGGGTGGGGATGGGCGGGTTGCCGCGCCTTAGGATGCTAGATGATGCTAAACCCGGATTAGTAAACCCCCGGTTGATTAATAGGGGGGTGTCCCCTTTTAGTAGGGATTCAGACCACTTTTGGAGGGAACATCCCCCTAATAATGGGACAGGTTTAACAATCCTGGGTCAACATTAGACTGCCGGGTAAGTCCAGTCAAGGTGCCTTTGTACTGGCTTCATATTGTAAACCAGAGTATTGGGCAGCGTGTTGCCTTCCTTGGCTGGAGGGAAGCTATGTGATACTTGGATGTCGAAAGTTGGCGAAGTCCGGGCGGAATGTCAATACTCAGCTGAGAGATCGCGAAGCCTTTGACACGACATATGAGAAATAGTATCTTGCGAACAACTCATTGCACCATGGAGCCTGACACACAAACTGCAAAGGTTGCCACGTGACCCATGGAAGGAGAAGGGTGGATCCTTCACCACAGGCAGCTTCAAGGATAGCAAGCCCCACGGCTACGGCTGCCAGGACCCCAGACGGGTTGGTTCCGATGGCTTGCGCGCATGGGGCGCTCAAACATTGCCACGTTTTGCAGGATCCTTTTGTGAGGGGCCCCTTGCGGGATTGACTGGCTTGTGGGCGCGCACTGTTCTCGGCATGGGGAGGGGAACTGTTCGGTTTCCTCCTGCCTGACGTTTGTGGAGGGTGCACTCGCTATATTTTTGCTTTCATGCAGGTAGGATAGCCAATGGTTCCCTGGTAGTGGACGTCATTTCTTCACCTGATCATTCCATGTTCTTGAGGCCGCTTCTTTCGGGATGCCGTATTTCAGGCGCACCAGCCCCACTGCCGCTTCATGCCGGCTCTATTTCGGCATGCTGGGCAGATTGGTCGATGTTGGTGGTGGGGAGAAGGTCCAAACACCTGCCAGAACCTCAAAATGGATTTGCGCTGTTTCGAGGGCACGGCTTTCAGGTTGGTTTCAAGGGAAACCAGCAGAAAGACCACCATTTTAAGGCCTATTCGACAGACACACACACACACATCGACAATAACTATGCTTGTGATGATGCATACGCATGACCTGAGTGCAGCAAGTTTGCCACTCTTCTCAATGACATTTGCGTTCGCATGTGAAATCTACGTTGCTCTGTGCCTAGTGGCGAGGGTCGGACGCTCCGAGGCGTTAGTTGAAGCAGTAGGGGGCGACTCATTTCCCAAACGGAGAATCGCTTGGGCTGAGTCTGCCTTGCAGTCGCAAGATGGAACTCTGAGGTCTTACGGGCGCCGATGGCAGCGTGTATCAGGCCGGGTCTGGTTTTGCTGGCTGAGGCCCATGTGATATTTCGAAAAGAATCCCAACCCTGCAATGTTTCACGTTGGTCCTTTGTTTTCTGTGACCAAGTCTGCAGGAGCACCCGTGCCGTTTGACTGGCATTTGTACAGGTGATTCTTCCTTAGATTCGATGGAGGCATCGCCAGGTGACTTTGAGTACGGCGCTTGTTTGCAAGCGGTGCATTTCTGTCATTCGGGGTGACGTGTGTAAGGTCTTCTGCAGAGTTTGTTCTGGTAGGGGGCAGCCATCACTGTCTCCGCGGGCGACGCGATTGTGTTTTGCACCGTGCCATGTGAAGGTGCGCAATCTTCAACCGAGTGTCATTCACCCTTCGAGACGAGAGGGGCACGTTGGCAGGTGATCTCTTGGAAAGTAGGTTGCCACGCGTGGAAGTTCGACCCTGGGTGTTGCCTTGTCCCCGATCAGTGCTTTGGACAGACACGTGGGACTTCCGGCCTGTGGAATCACGCGACTCCAAACCTTGTGCACTCCCAAATGGTGGCAATTGCAAACCACGAGCAACTCCCGCCTGGAGTTGCTTGCTATAGGTAACTGAGGAATCCCCACTCCAGAAATGAGCCAAGAACTAGCGAGAGGCAGGAGCGATGCCCATCAACCGCGCAACCGGCAGGGCCAATGGCGTCAGGGGCGCGCGCACGGCATGGGCAGATTCACAAAGGCCGTCGGGCCACCTAGGGTCGAGGCCCGGCGATCGACCATGTTCTGAAATTGCAGAGAAGGGTGGCTCAAAGGAATCAAAGCACTCATGGCCATTGACATGTTGCTGAAGTGGAAGGTTCTTCAGAGCAAGTCCTGGGCCCTCGGGGTTTCTTCCCTCTAGTGGTTGGCAGAACAGTTTGAGCGTGATGAGGCACTGCCATGAAGCCTGATTTTCTATCAGATCAAGCACATTCCCGGCCGGGGTACATAGATATGCCCCAGACGTGTTCTGCCAAAATAGGGGGGAACGCCAAAGTACATGATGGAGCCCTGAGAGATCTCTTTTTCCCTTGGAGCCGAGTTAAGCACGCTGGACAGGGAATGGCCATGAACAGTGTCTTTTTCTGTTCGCGCTTGATGAAAGCAGAAGCTCCCTGAAAAGAGAAACCCACATGGGCTGGGTTTCAGAGCCAGCGCCTCCAAGGGTGGTGCTGGAGCCTATGAAGGACAGTGGATAGAGGCGCGCTTGCCGTCGTTAGCGGCCCGGTCGTCAGGGAAATGACCTTCTCGGGGTTACCAACAAGCATAAATCCCAAAAGGCATTTGGAACCTGGAAAGATGGTCAATGGTCCCTGTGAGAGCAGAATTTGAGTTTAGTGGGTCCCTTTCAAGGTCTATGTTTGTTTTCGGGCTGGTATGTTTGCCCTTGTTAGGTTCCTAGTTTCATGGCCTGCCTTAGTGAGTCCAAAAAGGGTTCCTGATAGTCATGGGCCACAAGTTCAACCCTGACTCGGCAATCGTGCTGTGCTTCCCTTTCCTTGAAGGGGCCCTCTAGATTTCCCTTTCGGGGGGCGGGGTGTGTGTGTGTGAACATTTTCCTTGGAGGCAACTTGTAATGAGTTTCCTTGTGGGTGGTGTTCAAGGGAAGTACAGGGATCCCTTGCCACCTTGGGCTGTTGGGCATCCTGGGCAGAACACTGATGTTAGTTCTGTAGTCTGGAGGATGCCTTGTTTTTGTTTGTCTTGCTATTTTTGTGTTTACGTTTATGTTTGTTTTTGCTTAAATGTGTTCAAGGTTGGGGAGGATATTCCTTTACAATGTGAGCACCTAGATGCAGCCACATTGGGAGCTCCATTATTTTGCCAGGGTTAGTTGAACAAGGTCCCTTCAAAGAAGCATCTCGGCCAGTTGCAGCTTTGCTCGTGATTTGCAGGCTTCCCATTCGAAAAAAGGGGTGAGTATATAAGCCTTGGCAAGCTGATGTGTTGAGCCTCGACGTGTTGCCCATGTATTCTTTGGAGATGCCAAGCTTCAGGCTGCATGCGGGATGTGTGAGTATATACACACACACATATATATATATATTATACACACTATGGTGGTTGTCCTTTCTGGGGAATCCCTTTTTGGCTGGTGCTTACAGGAGAACAACTGGTGTTTACAGGAGAACAACTCTCATGAAAGCAACTTTGTTTAAAAGGGCTGCACCATGGTAAGACTAACCCATATGCGGGGCACGCTCACCAGGTGCCAGTGGATATTTTCTTGCATTTGAGGGCGGGAAAGCTTACTTGAGGCCCTTGGGGCACTTGGGCGCACCTCAGGTTGGTTATAAACAAATGGGGTGATCAACCCACTAAGCCAAATTAGGAGGTTGGCAAGGGAAGAAGCATTTGGCCGGCCGAATTAAAGAAACGAGGGGCCTTCCTTGGTGGCCCATAGGTTTGTGGCGTTGAAACACGAAACACGGCTTCGCAGGTAGCACCTCCAACGCTTCGCCCCAACGGCTCATGTAGAACGTTGGCTCACTTTCAGAATTTCGATGCAGTGCTTTGCTCGTATGGGTTTCCTCTGGGTTTAGCCACTGATGAATCCGCCGCTAGGTTCGTCTCCTTCACCCTGTGGCGCGGAGAGCTCCCCAGATTCAAACACTTACACCAAGTCTAGTTCACTGCAGGTGTTGCTACTCAACATGTTCAAGCACTGCCAGTGCATGAAAGGAATCAGCGTTGGCAAGCTTGCAAGCCGTTGCTGCCCCTCAAGGCCACTCACCCCTTATGCCCCTTCCGCGATGAATCTAGGAGACGCAAACACGGTCCAGGATGGAACAGAACAGAGAGGGCTTGCAACATCTGCCTTACTTAAGGCCAATGCACCCGACAGTTGGGTGAAATTAGATGGCACAATTCCCCCATGTTGCTTCAATCGCTCGCTTCAATGACCCGCACAAAAGGAATGGTACCATCTACTTTCACCCTGAGAATGTGTTTTTCCCAAACCTTGGCCCTGTAGGCCTTCCTTGGGTAGTTTGTTTTGTTCTTAGTACGCCTTTAACACGAGGCACAAGTTTGGCACTTGCCAGGACAAGCGCAGTGGCTCGGGGACTGAGCAGTGGGCCGCGAGCCCAGAAGGCGCAGAGAAAAAGAGGCTGGGCTCAACAAGGGGTAAATCATTGGGGTGAAGAGCAACAATGTGTTGATCTTTTGGTCTCTTGAATTTCAGGGTCTACTCCAAAACTGTTGTATATTTTGGGGTGGACTAATATGAAACATACTCAGAACATAGCATGTTCTGTGCACTCCAGATGTGGCCCAAGATTTGTTATGGTCGCGAAGGGTTAACTTCTGGTTTCCTGGTTCCAGGGGCAGGTAAGATTATGTTGCTTGTTTTGCGGTTCCGTCGAGGTTATTTGGTCGCCTTTCCTATTCTTTGGCAACATGCTGATTACAACGGCCACATGTTGCGATTGTTTAGGGGGGACGGGGTGGGAATCCTCATGTTACACTTATTTTTGAGGCGGGTGACCTAGGTGTGCCATGCTCACAATACTGATGTACTTGATTAAAAAAAACTAACCCTCAACCCCATCCCCCCCAAAACCCACCTTCAAGGTCGACGCCTGGAAAACCCGGCATTTTGGAGGGTCCACTGGGGCCATTGAGGTACCCCGACTGGTGAGGGCTATTGAGAGAGAAGGCTTAGCCAATAGGCAAAGGCTGCTGCTATTGTTGCTTCGGGCTTCGGGCTTCGGGGGGGGGGGGTTGGGAGGCTCCTTTGGTGTGCGAATCATGTTTAAAGATTTGGGGGACGGGGGGCGGTTGGGAGGAGGGTGACAAATTGTAATATGTAGGTAGTGAGCCCCTCAGGCAACAAAAGTGCTCAGACATCAGGAACTTTTGATGCTATTTGATTGGGGCTGCTTCGGGTTGGCGTTCTGGAAAACGGTTTGGATGTGGCTTTTGTGGATCCACCCCTATAGAATATTGAAAAAGTATTAAACGAGTACTACAAAAGGATGAACAGGGGGAAGAACAGGTGCAATCCACGCAAGGCGCAGCCAACCAGGCATGTTAAGCCCCCTCATTCGAACCCGGGGTGGGTTGATAACTCGGACCTGTGCTTGTGTCTCGTTTTCCCAAGAAGCCAACGGCCTTTTCCGAGGCCGACGGGTGCCTCTACCGCGGCTCCTTCCTCAAGGGCTGCAAGCACGGCCGGGGCTTTTACCAAACCCCGGAGGGTGCCTCCTACAACGGCGCCTTCCTCTCGGCCGAAGCCTCGGGTCACAGCGCGCGCGCGCGCCTTTCGCGCGCGCTCCCGGGGCGTTGTCCGGGCGCCTTTCGCGCGCCCGGTGCGGAAAGGCGCCCTTTGATTTTGATCCCAAGAAAGAAAAATATGGATTAGGTCTGTAACTGGCGTGGCCTGGAGGGTTACTGAGACGCTCGGATGCTGGCACGCCGAAGGACCAGATGCACGGCGAGGGCATCTACAAGTTTGCCGATGGGCGGCGGCCTGAGGAGTGGGAAGGCAAGTTTGAGCCGTGGGTCACTGGACCACTTCGTACCAACATGTTGTGATATATGTGTCCCGTATGGTCTGAGCTAACTTGATCCAAAAGGAACCGCGGTGTTTATGGGTCCCCGTGTTTTGCAAGAAGGAAGATCGCTAGATTTCAAAGTAACCCCTTACTACCATCAGCAGAACGTGTTTTCTTAACATTTTTTGTACATTGTAGTACTAGTAGCGCCAGTATACATCGCTGGCTGTCGTATCAACTATGTACACACGTAATCCATCTGGCTTTCACAATCCCTCTGAGAACAGCTCGCGCTCCGTGTTGTTGAGGGCATGTGCTCAAAAGGCAGAGCAATAGGCTCCTTCAAAGCAGAAACTGTTTTTTTATTGCAAACAGCTACTTTTTTCAGTCTTGGCCAGCCAATCTTTTGTTATGGGCCGGCAAAAAATAATCATCAGAAATATCAGGATGTGTCCGGTCTACCAAGGCAGAAACTCCTGCGTTTTTTGGAACCCCTAGTTCTTGCAGAGGGTTGGGTACCACAGAACGCCTCCAAACCTCCCCAAAGCACGAAGAGGGCAGCTGAATCAAGAACGCCCCAACTCATCAATCCAAACCATTGCCATCTGCCAGAATCAATCAAGAGCCCCAAAAGTGATGCGTATGGGTTCCCTTCGCAGTTCCAGCTCAGGCGGGTCTTCACTGGGAACTTTGCATCTGGGCGTGGAGACCCAGAGCCATGAGCCACGAGAGGGAGTCGAGTCGGCGTGAAGGGACCCACTAGTGGGTCTCTGATTTTGACACATTTCGGATGCGTTCAAAGCCCCCCCCATTTTGATTTGGTGTTAGTTCCCTTCCCTGTAAATGCCAACCAAAGAGGGTCCACCAGAACCTCCTTTTTGTTTTTTGCTGGACTCCTTTCATTGGCGTCTAAATTGCTTAAGGGACACCACTGGAAACCAGCACTTTTGGCGGTCCCTGGATTTTGAAACAAGCCCTTGATAGGGCTTGTGTAGGATCCATGTGTTTGTTTGTTTCCAGGGTGATCTCGAAACATTAGTCATTTTACTTGGACCTGCCTCTTGCTGCAATTCGTTTGTCTCATTTGGGTCTCCTGGCTGTTGGCTTTGATTGCTGCTCTTTTGTCGCTGAGGTCTTTGCGGTGTTTATGGGCTGGTTCGTTGGTATTCGCCATTTGTTGATTGATTGGTGTTTATCAGGCGTGAAGTGGTGCGCAAAGAAGTGGCCATGCCTGGCGGGGGAGGGGATGAGCCACGGACCTGTGGCCCTGAGTACGGCCACATTTGCCTCTTTCCATGCCATGCCGGACGCTCTGTGTGGCTGTGGCTGGTTCCGGGCTATTCTACCTGTCGGCTGAAAGATGCGGCCGCCTTCAAAGTTCAACATCAAGGATTTGTTTTAAATTTTGGACCCCCAATGAACCAGCTGTCGTTTTTGTCGGCCCTCAGCCCTGGTTCGCAGTTGGCCTTCCAAGTTTTCCTGAACCATTGGTGCTGTCAGTCATTCTGTGGATGGACGAAATCCTGCACCACTTTGAAACCATGGGAAACCATCGTTCCTTGGTATTTACAGGGGAATCATCCTTCCAGGGTTTCTGTGGTGCATGATTTCGTCCATCCCCAGTTTGCACAACAAAAGGTCTCCAGCGGCCTCGCTCGCTGTCTGCGCGTCTGCGGGTAGGATGATGACCGGATATGGCCGGATGTCCTGGCCCAGTGGCCAGGGCCCCAGGTTCGGCCCGGGTTTGGCCGGTTTCAATCATGAGCTGTTTGTTTCAACCATAGTTTCAATCATGTTTTGCTTGTTTGTTTCAATCATGGCTTTTTAAGACAACTCTTCTTTTAAGGGGCGAGGTAGGGGGAAATATGGGGAGCTCTGTGATTCCACCCTTTAGCCGGACCATTTGATGAAGTGTATTTTGTCAGGATGTCACTGTTGTCACTTTAAACGGACGCAGTGTGACTCAATTGTCCGGCCAAACGTCTTCGTGTGTGGAATCTCATCATGCCGTGACTCAGCATCCACGCAATTCGTACTGTTTGGGTCCCAGTTTGGGAGCTCCACAGCACATGCGCCATAAACCCTGACAATACAATGTAGTAAAGGGGGTGTCCTATAGAATCCCCGCGAAAGCCAAACAGCAGGCCGCGAAAGCTTGCGAAAGCTTATCGCGAAAGTAACCAAAGAAGGTCCCGCCGCGAAAGACCCGCGAAAGCCTGCATGCTGTGTGACGGTCCGCCACGAAAGCGTCGCGAAAGCAATTCTAAAGAAACCAAAGCCCGCGAAAGCAAAATATGGGGTCGCGAAAGCATCGCGAAAGGGTCCGCGAAAGCAAGTTTATAGGACCGCTTTTTACACAAGAGTATTTGGCACGGCTCACATGGATAATTTCGCGTGACCTTCAGAACTCCTGGGATGGACCATGTCTCAAGCCGAAAAATCAAAGCCTTGCTATCGGTTGAAGAGAATATTCAGTAAACTCCGTCAGCGAATGAGCCGGAGCCCTGGCTCAGGGAGGCACTCGAATTACCCTCCCATTAACATGGAACCTGGCAGGGGGTCCGTTCAACAGGAACATCTTCCAGGACACCCCGGTAAGGTTCCAGGTTAATTGGTGGGAGGGTATTAAGGAAGTTAAAGTATGTCCACGGCTTGGGGCATGATTTTGAGAAGGAGAAACTGAGATGATATCACCATGACTCAGCCGCTGAAATACTTCCGAGAGCTTTGGACAGAGCTCTTGGTCTTCAATCACTTGCCGTCATCAGCTATTGGAACCGAGTAATTTCTGCATGATTTAGCAACCTCGACAAAACCTGTCCTTTAACCGGTTTTTGGTGCTCATTTCGGTATATACCTTTGGTTTGCACGTGGTCCGGCTTTGGCGCAAGGCGCGGACTACGAAGGTCAATACCTGCGCAGGCCCAAGACACTTGAAGCGCGACTGGGTTGCTCTGAAGTGAAGGAAAACCCCCTGTAGCCGGGATGTTGAATTACGCACTGGGTTGTAATGCCTGGGGTTTTGATTTACAGTGTTCTTGAAGTCCTCTGGGGGCAACGAAAAGCGCGGAGAGGCGCTAGTTTTACTTGGACCGTCGCCTTAGCGGCTGAAGGCCCTGCAGGCCGGGCGGTGTAGAGGCGGGACAAACTGTTTTTGGGCGCCATGTGTTTCGTTGTTTGTTGTCGGCTTCTGCGTTTGTTGGTTTAACCGGTGTCCCTCCATTCGTCGCTTGAGGCTGTGGATATGTTTTTGTTTTCCTCCTAGATGCCCAAGACCCTGCCACGACCAGTTCGCTGAATTTCAGCGAGGGAGGGGTGCCCGGTTGGTGGTTGGGCGGTTGCCCTTGGTTTGTTTTTCAGTATGGGGCCAACTATTTCAACATGTTCAAACGCTGCTTGACCAACCTCTTCCCTTAGGGTAGGGCTGGTAAGTATCTTCCCGCACCGACCTGAGGAATGGCGAGAAGCACGGTGCTGGTGTGTACACCTGGCCGGATGGCATCGGACTTAGCTCAAGGGCACGGGAACCCTTGCGAAGGGTGCACCCGCGTAAAGTCTTCCAGGGCGCCTTAAGTTAATGGGCTCACACTTCCCGTTGTTCGGACTTTTAAAAGTTGCAGCTTTGTTGGAACCACGGGGCAATTCAGCTTTTGGAGACATATTCACTTGATTACCTGGAAGTAAAGCCTCGGGCTATCCCGGTCTTGGCAGTCTAGTCTGGCACAGGCTGTCGGGTCGGGAGCCGCAAAGAAACTCAATGTTGGGCACAGCCACTCGGGCCAGGCGAATAGTGGGAGACTCTGCACAGCTCAGGGTCAACCCTGTCACAGCTGTCATGGTCAGAGATTGTCACAGCTGTCAAGGGCAAGTTTGTCACAGCTCTGTTTGTCACAGCTCTGAGGATGCGGATTAGGCAAAGCGGCTCGGCAGATGTCTTCGAAACGGCAACCCAAACGGAGAACCCCCAGCGATGCATCCTGGCCCTGGCACTGAGCACTTGTAAATTTCCGCAGCGGCGTTATCTTATCTCCATGGTTGAAGGCCTCGCGTTGAAAGAGTGCCAACCAAGCGCATGCAACTTCAAGCATATCAAATCTGACCAGAATGTAAGCCATGGTTCTTGAGCTGCTCCCAAGCGCCCTCTTGCAAGCGAACATGTCCCAGATACCTGCGTGGGGCCACTTGGAGGTCTTTGAGCCTCGCTTGCATCTTGTTAGTTGCTTGCGCGGGGGTCTAGAACCTTATCTTATTGGTCACAGCTGCCTGCAGAACCTGAGAGTTTGGTGTGTCGCAGCAGGGTCGGGCCATTGGGCCAAGCCGAGCCTCAGAGCTTGGGGTTTGGGTGCGGAAACGAAACCTCCTTCACATGGCCCATGGGAATGTGTCGCGCAGGCCGCGTCTACGAGGGCCAGTGGTCCCACAGCCAGATGCACGGGAAAGGCGTGCTGTATCGCCCGGAGCCAAAGCTCGGGTGGACGCAGCTGTCAAGGTCCATCGCGGTCTCAAAAGGTAAGCTCTTCTGTTTGTAGGTCCTTTGGGCTTGGTGAGGCTTAGTTATGATTCTCAGTCAAAGGAAGCTCAAAGGATGTTCAGTTGGCCAAGGCCTCCGAACCCTCCATCTTACACTCAGGATTCCTTTGAAACCTACGCAAACAAATGTTGCCGGAAAGGCAGACGGGTGTTGTTGGAGAACTGACTGGAGTTTCTCCAGTGTCCCTTAGAAATCACCCCCCCCCGGGCGAGATGTCCTGTTTCCCCGCAATCAGAAGTCTTTCCAAGGTCGCCATGCCATCAGACTCTATGTCAAAGTTGCGGGACGCCAACAAAAGAAACCGGCTGCCCACTGGCCTGCACCAATCCCCCGGAGGCGGCTCGCTGGTCTTCCGAGCTGTTTGACTCGGACAGACTTGCCTGTTGGGCGACGCAGTCGGTCGCGTTGCTTCATGACACGCGCAGCTGCATGTCATGGCACGCGCTGGTCGTTCGTTTGCCCTGCTCGTGCGGGTGATTTCGTGGAGGCCTGTTCGGCTTTGCGCGTTTGTTTGCGAGGCACATGGGCGACGGTCAAAAACCCATGTGTAAAAGTTTAGTAAGGAGCATATTCATGTGTTCTGGCGCTGCGCGCGCGAAAGGTCGCGAGTGGGCGCCGGAAGGTTTGGCGAAAGGGCTGGCCACAATGATGATAAAGGATGCTGATTTAGCACTCTGAATGGTGTGAACATTTTTTCAACGCTGCAGAAATAGCTTTTGGACTGTTGTTTATGCCATATGTGCCCCTCGCGCCTGCATGTTGGTATGCCGTTGTTGGGGGTTGCCCAGAAGCTATTTATTTTGGCCAAGGCCAAATAACATTTGGGCCTGTTTCGGGGTTGGTCCACAAGATGCAAACGGGCACCCCCAAAACCTGTTTTTGCATTAGAAATAACATTTGGGCAGGTTAGTCTTTCCTTCAGAATGCAGAAATGAGTCTTTTTTTTGAGAATACAGACTAGGCAGTCCCCAAACCCTGTTTTGGGCACTGGAAAACAACATTTGGGCAGGTTTTGGGTTGGTTTGCAGGCCAAGGGGCGGACAGTGTCCGAGTCTTTTCCTTGAGGGTACAGACTCGGGAATCCCAAAACCTGTTTTGGGCACTGGAAAATAACATTTGGGCAGGTTCTGGTTTGGTTTGCAGGCCAAGGGGCGGACAGTGTGCAAATGAGTCTTTTCCTTGAGTGTACAGACTAGGGAGCCCCCAAAACTTGTTTTGGGCACTGGAAAATAACATTTGGGCAGGTTCCGGGTTGGTTTGCAGGCCAAGGGGCGGAAAGTGTCCAAACGAGTCTTTTCCTTGAGAAGACAAACAGGTTTTGGGCGCTGGAAAATAACATTTGGGCAGGTGTTGGGTTGGTTTGCGGGCAACCAGCCAAAAGTGTCCAAAGTGTTCAAATGAGTCTTTCCTTTTGAATACACAGACTAGGGCACCACAACGCCTGTTTTAGGCATTGGAAAATAGCATTCGGGCTGGGTCGTTGGTTCCCAAAGCAGGCTTCTGACGCATGGCTTTAGTGGTGTTGTCGACGGAGGGTTGTCGACCACGTGCGCCCCACTGTGGGCGCGAAAGAAAGCGCAAGTTTCGCGAAAGGGCGCCGGAAGGCCAAAAAAAACAAAATAATTTCGACCAACGCCCGCATGGGCAGGGAGTTGCCTGGGTCATGCCGGGCATCCGGGCTTGTCCCAGATAGACAACTCTCCTTCGCGGAAGCCGCCGAATCCAATCCTTTTCTGCTTCTAACTAGCGGACCACAGACTGCAGTGCCAACTGTTCATTCGGGATTGAAACCTGCTTTCACTGGCACTTAGTCTTGTGTTTGTGTGTTTGTTTGCTTTGTGCGTTTACCCGCATGCTGTTTTACCCTAGATTCTACAAAAACGCTACGCCAAATCACAGGTCCGCTTTCTCCAGCCAGCTGTGGCACCTCTCAGAACCATTCTGAGCCTCCGCAAAGCCAGGTTTCCCCCTTGAACATGAGGAGGTCGCGAGTTGTGCCCCGTTTACGTCCACTGCTCAGAACGGATCAGCTTTCCCCAAGTGCTGGTTGGGGTCGGTCTTGCCATCTACCGTTTTGCGGGACCTCCCAATTGGGTTGGCGTCGGCCTTTGGTTCTTGCTGAAGTCTCTGTGTGTGTGTCAAAACGGATCGAGGACCTGTAAAAGGGTACCCTCAACAATGACATCCCTGGTGGTTTCCCTTTGGGTCTTCCCAAAAAGTCGGAAGAAGTGATCTGACATGCGCCCCAGATACTGACGGCAGCTCCGTAGCTGGCCTTTGGTGCTGGAAGCTTGGGGGGGAGGGGGTCGTTTCATTTTCTCCGTGCAAGAAAAACCGGCCTGCCTATAGATTCCCTCTTGAGACTAGCCACATTTTCTGTTTCTTTTGGAGGGGGATTCAACAGAAATGCCCCCCCCCCATTTTGACGTTCCTCTGTTTGGAAACAAGCCTTTTTGTCAGAATAGGGGACCCCGTTTTTGTGGCTTTGCTTTGGCTTCCTGTTCAACAAGCCCATAGCGCTAGTCCGCTTAAAAGACAGACTCATGTAGTGATAGATATTCGCCAACTGGAATTGAGGAATCCCCTAGTAAGGGACCTTCAGCTTGCTTGAGCTCGCTTTACCCCTAGGCCTGGCGAGCTCGCCAAACCACAGAGAATGGAATGTGGGTATGAACCCTGCACATAGGAACCAGTTTTTCCCCATCAGTTTCGCGGCTGTTCGCCATGTCCTCGCCACATAGAGAACTTGAGGGCACCGACAAAGAGACTGCCAAAGCTGGCTATCACCCGCATGAGGCAAACACCACAAGGCTACGGGATGCAATGGGGTTATTCAAGAAGCACGGCTGGTGAAAGAAGATGGTGTGCTCTACCTTTGCGCCGGCCAAAGCAGAGCATGACCGAATCTAGGCAATTGCCTCATGAATCACCCCATTTCGACAAAAGCAAGAGGCGTCGATGCCCGATGACACTAATCTATAGCACCAACTGTGCCTGCAAGCTTCTGTTGTTCGATGCCCGCCCGCTTGAATAAATTTTGCAACCAACTAATACAGTGTTCTGACTAAATCCTGCACCAGTTGGGATGCGTGAACCCCTATTTGGGATAAACTACCAATGGGTTTTGTCCATCCACAGCGGAAACATTCGGGGAACCCCCGCTTTGAAAGACCAATGTCCTTTTGCTAGGGGACCCTGAGCGTGTTTTAATGAACGGGTTCCAGCTTGCACCAAAAGACATGTGTGTAGCATCCATTTATCTTCATTTGTTAGAACCAATTCAACGGGATGGTTTGATTTCACCCTTTGCCAATCTGAAGGAGATTCTTGCTGGGCCTTTTGTTCTTTTAACGGGGACAGACGTTGATTTACAACTTCGTTTTGTTTGCTCCTAGCGACTGAGCTCCGATGAAGCACTACCAAAAGAAACATCCCAACGGCGCCCGCCTGAAAGTGGACGTTTCACCTTCCGAGGCCGCGGCGCAGGCCCAGAGCGCGTGTGAGACGAAAAGTTGTGACCAAACGGCGGCTGCCTGGTGCGGAGGTCCATGGACCCCTTGCAACCAGGGGCCATGGTTTGTGTCTTTTTTTTTGTTTTTTCACATTGACCATTGCTACAGCCGGGGTTGACGCTGCTGTTCGTTTGATAAAAGGAGAAGTAGTCTAAAGTCCAATGTTCAGTGTGTTCACTAAACTCGCGCCAGAATGGAAATACAAGTGTTGGTTGGGGGCCAAAGCTGCAGTTAAAGGGACCAATCTCTCCTTGGTTGCTTTGCTTTTGGTTTCCCAATGCCGTCCCAAATTTCACTACAGGTTGCGCATTTTGCGACATCCGCATTATGAAGTCGCGGATATGTCTCGGATTAACTTACCGACCATGAAGGCTTCGTACTTCGGCGGAATCCTTTCTGGAGTTCAGACGTTGCCTTTGGGTGAGTCAAATGGCAAGAAAAACAATCAAGGGCTCGTGGCCTCCAGTTTGGGGTGAGGAAGAACCAAAGGTGCCGCGAGGTGCCCTGCTAAGCAACAGTATGCGCGTGTGCGCACATGTCAGGTTCTGCGTGTGGGTACGTGGGATGTTGTTTGTAATGTGGAAGTTGCATTGCTCCATACACAGAGTCAGACTCTCATACATAAGACAGGGTCAAAATTACCTTGACGCAGATCCATACCACGTGACATATCATGTGTGCAGTACCTCTTGCAGTTTGCATGGAAAACTATACGGGGCTTTCAACACACGATACTTTTTGGACCATAACCTGCAAAGTACTTTCGTAAGCAAGTAGAGGCTCGCAAAAAAGTGAACGCATGTGTTGGACTAATTTATACTGTGACTGACTCATATGCATGCGCTGTATCTTCAATTCAACGATGTCTCCCGCAGAATGTTTCAAAGAGACCCGGAGTTTGGACCAAGCGAGCTGGCCTAAATAGGTGGTGTGACATGTGCCTGGTTTAGCAGAGAATCCTTGGTTCGCGGCTAGTTGGTTTGGTGGCGCAGGCACCGTTGCGAGTGCTAGCTCCCGCATCTCTTGTTTAAGAAGGCCGTATCATTGAGGGTGCGCCCCAGGCACCCCTGCATCGAACCTTTCATTGCGCCTGCCCCCAATCAGCCACTCACATGTCAGGGGTTTGCCCTCCTCCCAAGACCAGACCATCCCACAACTTTTTGACTTTTAGGGGCCACGCAGGGTCTTGTTGCCACGGCAGCAACCTTAGCTAAACTTTCGACTCAACCAGAGCGTTTGAAGAGGTCACAAACACCGCGGAAGTTGGCTGAACGTGGACCTTCAGGAGCTTCCTCCGTCCAGGCATTGCAACAGGCAGATTCTTTGCCGACCGCCCTGCGCCGCCCAGACGAATGTGGCGACAGTACCGTGCTCCGAGTGCAAGACTTTGCGGATGCAATTCCAAGAGAGGATCGTATCAAAAGCTGAAGTCAATTGAATCAAAAGTAGTTGAGCCTTCGTGCGACTTACCAAAGCTGAGACTTGAGCCCTAAGCGCATCCAAAAAATCAGAACTCGGACCTGAATTCGAGGCGCAGCTGACGATTTGCGCCTGGCATGTTACGCCCGACGTTCCGTGGACAGAGAATGCGGTTATGTCGCCATGCAAAACTCGCCTTCCAAGGCTGCATGTTGGATGTCGTGGAAATTGCGAAGTTGGTTGTTTGGACGAACTTTCTGGTTTGGAAGATCACTAGCTTCCTCCTGGCTTTCATTTCCCCATCCCCTTAGAATGAAGTTGGCGGAATCCCGTTTGTATTTCCGTTTCCCCTTCTGGGAAAGCAAGAAGAAGTAGAAAGTTGGACTCCGGACCCCCCACCCTGTTAGGGATAAGAACTCAACGGCAGCAGACCCTGGAGTATCGGTGCCCTTGTCAAGTGCCTTATATAATTTATCAATGTATACACCTGCTCATATACATGCACACACATATATACGTATATATATATATGTATAGGTACACATATATACAATATACAAACATATACGGCCTATTGAAGGGCATGTCAAAGCCCACTCCGAGCATAGTCAGAAAGACCTGCGAAAGAGCCCCTAACCACAGGTGCATCAGGCAGAAAACAGCTCGCATCCAAATGCTCAAAGAGAGGAAGCGCAGAGGGCGTCAAGGTTTTGGCCATGAGTGGTCTAAGGGAGTAGCAGGTGCACCAAGGCACAATGAGATCAGCTTCACTTAGGATAGACGCACCTTGCATGCAGAACCCAGAAGCAAGTGCCAGGAGACATGACTTTTGGCAGCCTCCCATTTTCCCATTTGGGCGCTGCGGTTTGAGAGAGGGAGGTGGCAAGTTGACACAGCTGCTGGCCATTTTACCTCGTAGCCTAGGCATTGCCGCAGGCCATTAGGGACAAATGAGCGCTGAGTCGCGGTGCGACCCCGACGTCAAAAACCTTTGCAGTGCACACGCAACCTTGGGTACTGTTGGGTTGGATCTTTGACTGAAAACTTTTGAGGAAAATGATGTTCTTCCCAAGGACCTGCGCAAGGTTCAGCTTGTTAAGCAGGGAGTAACAGCCATCAAGCAGAAAAAAATCCACCCACGGTTTGTGCTGGGATCATATCTTGTTTTGACGGTACCCTTTTGCGGGTTGACAACTTTCAAGGGAACTTCCAGTTGGAGGCAAACCCATTTGACCTTTAAGCATTTGACATTCAAATGCACCTAAACAGCTTGGAAAGCTGTTTGGCTACGCCATGTCCAACCAGTTCTTCAGAAGTACCTTGCCTCAGGCAACCACCGATCCACCAAATGTTTGCCGCAGTGCACGGCTCAAGCTGTGACACCCGAAATCTTCGACAAGGCGGAGCGAGGGCTTGGACGGGCCTAGGAAACTCGACGCGGACCCTCCAATGTTCTGAGCCTGCATTGCGCAACTTTTGGCGTTTTGTCCCTATGGGCTTGTTTCTCTTGGACAGGCTTGGCGGGTATGACTTGCAATCAAAGGGAACATACCGCCTAGCGAGCGGAGAAAGTGATTGGGACTGCCTGCAGGCTTGTGGACGGTGGATAGCGTACTTCGAACGGGCGAGTGATGTCCTAGGCATCTCCTGCTCGGGTTGAGCATGGACCCAGTTGAATCCGACCACAAGCATGGCACTTCTCATATTGGAAATACTGGGCTAAATGCTGAAATGCATGAAATACAACCACACGAATACACCGCATGAAAAGACATTCCAGGGCTTGCGCTTACCGAAAAATCCTCACCTCTGCTGCAAGTCATCATAGCCGCCATGTCCAAGCGTGATGTGCTCCGCATGTGTCAGGTTTCAAACGCGCTGAGAACCTCTCAGTCTCAGTACCCACCCTTGCAAGAAAGTCAGCACCTCGGGTCCAGTCCCGTTTGCGTTTCGTTTTGGGGTTGCCCAAAGAGACACACCGGACAACCTGCGCCTGGCCAAAGGCGACTTTGTACTTTTTCTAGGCAACTGTGACCACCAAGCTTTGGTTGCCAATTTGAAGTGAGCCTTTTGTGGGTTGACTGGCGATGGGAGTCGTGTCCAGAAAACGGGAGTGTAGAAGTTGCACGGCTTTCTGAATCCTTCGATGTCTAGTGGTTGATTTTTTCATTGGGCAACACTTTGTCGAGCAACTGGATAAACACACCATGCGCACCTCTGCAACTCCAGAGCGTGTTGTGTTTTGGAGCCAAGACCGCGTATGTCGAGTTTGAGACCACCACAGATATTGATATGGCATCCAAGGGGGAGAGCTAAAAGTGGTAGGGTGTATACCACGCAATGCGCCTGCCAGGATCTGGCATGACGGGGAGCGAATACAGCAGCCACTGCCCCGGCTGTGTCCATTTTTGTCGGAGCGCGGTGAGAGGTAGTCTGCAGCGTCCGTGGTTACAACATGTCGCCCGTTTCAATGAAGGAAGCCAGTCCCCAGTCATTAATTGTGCGTGTTGTGCGCACTCCTCCCGATTGTTGATGTTGATTGTGTTTCCAAAATGGATAGCAGGTAGACAACACCTGTCATGCAAAGAGATGTGATCACCTAGCATAGGATCGCACTCCTTGATCGCAACGTCGACGTCTCAGACGGAAGCACACAAGCTGTCATAATGGGTCTGCAGATCACCCACAACAAAAAAGCAGGGGTCCGCAAGTGTGGGGACCGTTTTTCAAGTGGTTGGGATCAACTGGACAGCAATACAGCAATTTGCTATGTTTGACTTGCTTCTTGCCGAGCTTCCACTCAACAACTGCCATTAACCTGGAATGTAGTTCTCTGCTGGAAGGGACCTTCTGGCGGATTGTCCAAACGATCAAAGGTCTGTTAATACTGCTTGTTCATTGAATTCTTGTTCAGGGGAGCATCCCCCACGGGCGGTGGCTTCGGAGCAAGGTCCCTTGGACTCTCTGACTCAATGGCAGCGACTTCCTTTTGCCAACGCTTTCTTTCTGGAGGCTATCCCGTTTTCCGGGTGACGCGCGCGTTATGTTGTATTGTTTTACTTGTGATCGCGAGGTTCAAAAGCATCAGTAGTAACATTGAGGTAGACAGAGGACTCAGTGGACTGTCATAATTTGCACAATGGCCGCTGAACACCGCTTTGTGCCTCTCGTTCTTCCACCTTCGGTTTGTAATTGCATGGAACTTTAGGCTGCGTGCAGCTGCACAACTCGCAGGGCAAACAGAAAAGACATTTTGTCCTGCACTGGGGGGATCTTTCCAATTTCAACAAACTCTTTGGCACAAAAAGGGACCCCCATAGAATGTGCTGATATGGGGCCCTGGGGCTGCGGATTCACCCTGGGCCCCAGCCATCCTGCGAGCGGGCCACGGAATGCCGCGGAGGCTCCACAGCAGCTTCCTCGGACTGCCGCTACGAGCGGGCGCTGCGGCTGGCCGAGGCGCGCGGCCCAAAGATGTGGCCCAAGGACGCGACGTGGGAGGTGACCGGTGGCCAGACACGACGGGTTCATGTGGCTAATGTTTTTTTCTTGGGTTTTCCGTTTGCAGATTTTGAGACATCCTCGTTCCAGGTAGTGCGCAGGTTTCACGTTTGCTTTGAGGTGCTCCTTCAAGGTATCAGTCCAATATTCCTTTGATGGACTTGGGGTGGGCCCGAAAGTTGCATGCAGACGCATTCCTTTCTTGAACTGGGTGGCTTTCTGTAGTGCACTGTATGACGATGGACAGACTATCTGGTTGAATCAGGCCCGTTGGATTGTTGGCCCGAAATCATGTTGATAAGGAGCGTACATCAGCCGGCAACGCCGACAGGCGTGGATCATTTGAGATGTCGCCAAGGGGCCGCTTGTTTGTGATAATGTAAGGCTTTGAGAGGGCCTATCGGGGCAAGTTCCGGAAACCTATGCTAACGCTCCTTTTGGGAACATGACACTTTTCCTACAAGACTGCGTTATTTTCTTTCACTTCCAATTCCATCCGTTTTTTGCGGGTGCCCAGAGTGTGTAGTAGTCTTGATTCGAAAAGGGTTAACTGGGGGGACAGTCGAAGGTTCAAGGGGCGGTTGCTAACAACCCTTCCGCTAGCATCGAGCCGGGTCCCGGGCTGCTGACCTCCAGCCAGGTTTTCCACGTAACCATCGCGCCGCCAGCCGGCCCCAGCTTCGAAAGCGCTCGCCAGGCGCGCTTGGCGAAAGCAGCACGGAGCCCGGCGGCCAAATTGGAGGCCCACCTGCACTGCGAGGCGCTGCAGGCGAGCGAGTGGAGAGTGCCCGGGGGGCGGGGCCGGGGCGGGCGGGCGGGGGGGGGGGAGGCGGGCACCACTTTCCTCTTGATGACTTTTCGACATGATAAAACTTCCTATCGAGCAGCGAGTGCAACTTCTCGTAGCTTGTGAAAGACCAACCCAGAAAAGGCGAAAGGTGGAGGGGAACGGCGGGGGTTTTGAAGCAGGCGGGATATTGGGAGTTTGAAGGCCGTGGGGAGGTGAAGAACTATCACCCCGTTTCGAATAAAAGTTGGATTTGTTTGGACTCTGTGAGGCTGCAGTCTTCAGCCGCAATGCTGCGATGCTGTGTGTTTTCGTTGCCTGTTCTAGGAGAAACAGGCATTGACTTGCTCGAAAGGCGCCGAAGTCATGCTTTCACTGCTCCAAGAGTAGCCATACTACAGCGCTTTACGTGAGAAACGCTGAGTTGCACTAGGGGGCGTTCAGGTTGATCCGTGGTTCATTGAGAGCTCAATTGGGTTCCCCGCATTGGGGCAACATGACAATGCTTGCTGGTGAGCCGCGCTGTCCTAGTTTGCTTCACCAGCCTTTCAATTGAGGGCATCTGAAGCCAAAAAGCAAGCCTGCCACATACCAAGCATCAGTACAAATTGGAAAAAAGGGGCTCCCATAGCCGTTGTGGAAAGCGCATATTTCGACCGTGGCTCCCATGGCGCGCCAGGCAAAGCACGAGGCCCGCTGGGTTCGATTGGCTTGGGATGCGCCGCAATGTGCGCGCGCACGGGGGAGGCTGACTCTAATGTAAACGATGAATATATGTCTTTCAGAGGTGGGCAAACGAGGAATCTTTCGTTCTGAGGGCACCTGTGTTTCCCCAAGCGTCTTGCACACTCTGGAGTTCTTATAGCAGCAAATAGGGTTAGATTGAGGGCTCCAGGACTCTTTTGCTTGAGCCGTCTCGCGCAATAGTCCTTTCTTAAATGAGTCAAGTGCCTTCAATTTCAACTGCGCAAGCTCATGGAAAGAGTGGGTTGCGCACGGGTGTGTTTCAGGGGTCCCCTCGGTGGCGCCATGCGACTTCCGCAAACGGTGAGTTGGTGCATGTTGGCGCACCTTTTGCAGGGTTTGGGTGTGTCGGAGGCTGTCGCTGTGGCAAGGCATTTTGAATGAGACAGCGAAACTTCTGCGGACTTTGGCTGCGTTCAGTCATACATTTTGGACGAGTAAAGCGAGCCCACGAGTCGTTTCTTCACTTCATGCGTGTTTGATCCTTTGTTCAAGGCAAGGGTCCGGGCCGCTTTGCGATGTATTGCCCGCTAATCCAGAATTTAGAAGTTGGGAGATTCGGGGTTTGGAGAAAATACGATTTATTCGTAGGGGCATTGTCAAAGGGGGAACTAATGATCCCATTGAGTCCGGCTCCAGGTCAGAGATCTCCCTCGAAGGGGCCGTTGCAAGCTCTAAACGCGTAAGTAAGATATCCGAGTTCCAAGTTCGCCGTCATCATCCCGTTCGCTTGCGGTCTAGTGCGGGGGTGATGGCCGTATGGAGAAATCACCGCGGGAGAGTCATCACAGCCAGAAGCTGAGCAGAAAGGTACCCCTCCAATTGTAGAAGTAGACTCCCTCGTTTAGTTTGGCCGCTGTGCTTCACAAGGCAAGCCGAAGAAATGACCCTATGGAACAGATGCGGCTGGCGCAAAGGCGAAAGAAAGGGCGCGACAGGTCCTGCCCTGAGCTGCCGAAAGGAGGTTCAAACGGTGGCAGAATGCGACCGAACAGATCTAGGCCACCGAAGGTGCTGTTGTTCTCCTTTAGGAAGGGTAGCAACAGAGGAAGAGGAAGAAAACAAAGAAAGCATTCTATAATCCGGTGGTTGGGGAATTTGGGACGGCCTTGGTTGTTTGAGTCGTGGGCTGAGTGAGTTTGAACGCCCGATGATCGTGCTTGAGCTGTCGTCAGGCATGTTGCTTTTCGAGGCAAGGAAGTGCCTGTTTGCGGTCTAGAAACAAGTTGAATCCCAAGAATGCCACGTGCTGCGAATCTTGTTAGTGAAGGCCTTCCAGTTGTTGGTACCCTGGGCAAACAGACCAGTGGTTGATACTGATTGGGACGTATGTCAATTGATTGCAAATCCTGGTTGAGGTCTATCCAGTGCACTTCTTCAATGGTTCGCCTGATTTGGGTCAGCTTGGTTTGCGATTTGTAGAAGCACAACTGCTGGTGAAGCAAAGGTGCCAAACTTCAATTTCTCAAGTCCATACCACCTTCAACTTCTTGGCTCAATCTCACAAACGTGACTCTAAATTGTATCTTGTTCTGACCCTGGGCTTCGACAATTTTGACACGTGCAGCGGCGGGATTCATACCTGAGGTTCCCCAGAATCATGAAGGGTCCGACCGAATTAAATATGTTGGGTGAAGAGCAGGCAAAGCTGTGTCAAAATGAAGGACCCCTCCTGCAGCCTTCTTAAGCCCATGCAAAATAATTTCAAGTTTTGACAAAGGCAGAAGTTCCCGTTTCTGCCGGCGAGTTAGCGTCCATTTCGGGAGGGCAGACCTGCACTTCCGGTCGGTTCAGCAAAGCGGCTCTCTTCAATAGCCGTAGGGGACTTACCAGCAATGAGCTTGACTATGGTGTCTTCTGAACTTTGGTTTCAACAGGTGTAAGCTTCTTCCCTCCAAACATTCCGCTGGAATCCTCCCCGAGAGGAGAGGGGGTGATGAGCACCCTGGAAAGCAGATTGCAGAAGTTACGGCAAAGGCCCTTTGCCAAGCCGAGGAGTTAGGAAAGGATTGACAAAGTATGCAAAAAGTTGAAAGATACAGCATGCCTCCTTGCAAGGTTGCAGTTGCATGAGAGAGGCCAACGATGTCATGAAGCAGAGGTAAATGCGCACCATTAGATTTGTTGCATCCCGGGCAATTTGCATGGAGAAGGATGGGGACCACAAAAAGCACGAGACCCTTGCACCATCCTCCTGATCGTGGCTAGACCTGGACCACAGTCAGGGACTCACCAAAGATGACATTATTTATTACACATTTCCCAACAGTTCTCACAATAAATTGTGCCACAGCGACGACATGCTTTCACCAATTGGCGTAATTAGCCCACTCCTCAGGGGCACATGGGAGATTGACAGTCACGGACTTTTGTCCACGGTCGTATCGCAAGGATAAGCGCACAGGGCGATATCGAGGTTTTGCCCTAGTCTTGGGATAGAACTCTAGGAATTCCGCAATTCCGCGCCCTTCGCCGGAAGGGTTCCCACTACTGTTTTTACCATTTGGCGGTCTTTGACAACATGTTGGGCCAAGTTGCGGTGAGCTGCCTTTTGGTGGGGCGATGTTGCAAGGGGAAATATGGGGAGCCCGGCGATGTTGCGAGGGGAAATATGGGGAGCCCAGCGAGGAATGGCTTGAGAGCTTCAGCATGGAGAAGTCCGCGGAATTCCAGGAGCGTTCAGGGGATGGGGTGCCCATGGTTTGCACCATGCACCAAGGGTAATATCAGTGTAGCATCCTAGAGTTCCTTGTTGGAGCCCATTCAGGGTCACCCAAAGAGAGTTGTTTCGCGGGTTCTTCGGTGTGCCGTCATGTAATTACCCATCAACACACGGCGTTGAAAGTGAGTATGTTATATTAAAAAAGGCGAACACATGTCGCGCATCTTGGTGATTTTCGCCTGGTGAAGCAGGTCCTGTTCTTTGTCAGCTTCTCAATGGCTCAAGCTCAGTCTGTCAGAAGTGAATACAGCAGACATGTTTGCTGGGAGAGTGTGCTATCCACTTTGAAGTCTAGCTTTCAGCTGTCACAGTGCTTTGCACCAGTATCGGGCCGGTTTCCTGCAAATGAGCAGGACACAAAAACTGCCCACTGAGAAGCAGTTTCTGAACCGAGGCACGGCTAGGAAAGCCTGATGGTTACATGGGTAACGGTTGAATGTGGTTCATGGTTGTTGCCAACATCAGCATCATCACACCAACCCAATCCTCGCACAGCATTAGCCTACCCACATGGTCCCTCTAGTGTGGTCAGGATGATTCCTTCTAATTGCCCTGCATCGGGGGTCCAGGGCTCAATCAAAATCCCATTACATTGCAAAAGCTAAATTTAGAAACCGCCGGACCCACCCTACACCCAAACCCATTCGACACTCCACAAACGCACCCTAAACCTCCTTCAATCATCCCAAACAACCGCAAGCAGCACCAGCGCGTGCGGCTTCCTAGCATACGACAAGCCCTGCGAGAAACCATGCAGCACTTGAGAAAGAAGGCGGAAAGAAATCGAAGAGAACCTTGACGAACAAGGGTGAAGGTAGGATTTGCCACAGACAAAGCCTAGACGTGCCCACACAGAAGTAAACAACAATTACGAAGCAGCATCATGAAGCAAAGTGGAACGGTCACGAGAAAATGATCCTCGCGTGTGCTTGGACAACAAGCTTCATGCACCAAATTCTGCGCGACTGTTCAGCCCTGCCAGGACAAACTTGATGCTCACCGTGGTCGGTTGGAGCAAGCCAACAGCTTCAACAGGCAGCTGACGACAGCGGATGGCATAGCTTACTGGGGCAGTTTAACATGGAACCCAACCATGGCGTGTTATTTTTCGAGGAGAGTTCTCTAAACACGATGCTTGTTTGGTTCCGCATGATTCTGCGGGGAGGTATTTGGGTTTGCGAACCAAAGACCTTCATGTCATGACAGCGTCCCCCCTTAGCAGACAATGTTTTGGAGCCAGAACGCTTGAGACTTGAGACTCAAAAGCGAGCTCTGAGGCGCCTTTTTTTCTGCCTTGTGTTTGAAATGACCATGGTTGCCTCAGCCCCTTGGCTGACCCAACCAACGCAAAGGGGCTGTTACACACGCCAAGGGCTCAATTTGCTCCGAAAGGGCTTTGGTTGGAGGCTAGTTCAAAACCCCAAATCACCAATCCAAACCACCAATTAGGGGTTACCTGTGTGTCTGAGTGTGCACTCTAGACGGTTAGGCCGTTGCTACGTGGAGCAGCTCCGTCCCGGGTAAGTTGAAGATTCTGACACGAATAATCGGGACTGTTTCTTCCGGGTCGGGTTGGTTGACACGTGCCGCAGGCAGAAGCAGGAGGAGTTGCTGGCTACTGCACAAGCCAAGGCTTTGGCACAGGAGGCGAGGAACGCAACTAGAGATGAAGTTGTCACATTTGGGTTTGAGCTTTTGAGGGTACCCTTTTCAGGTTGGTTTAAAAACCATTAAGGCTAAAAAACACCCCGTTGAGGGGAGGGGGGGGGGCGCTTGCTTTGAGACAAGCCCATTTTGACCCTGGGAATGGAAACCTTACCTTGAAATACTGCAACCTCACTTTGGACCAGTGTTCTGCCTGAGCTTGCCGCAGGTTGGTGTCGTGTATAGTTGGCACGTAGGGTAACATCCCAAAAAGGGGTCCAAGAGGAGATTCCTCTATCATTCAACTGAGTGGGTTCCATGTCAGCTTCTGGGGGTAGCCACAAGCACGAAGAGTTCACACCCTGCGATGATCACAGGTTGTCCAGGTGCTGAAGAACTCCAAGAAAAAGCGCCCCCTTTTGAGAAGGTTCCCCTTTAAACTCAACCAATCCAACAAGGATGCACCTTTTTTCCCATGGCCACTGGGCGTTTGAGGCAGCTTTGCTTGAACAAGGAAGGTGGCAGCACTGATTGCTTTAGATTTTGGGGGCAACATCGCAGGCATTTTGCGGTTTCAATTTGTCTCAACGCATGCCGAAATCTCCTCTTCGTTTTTTTTTTTTCTCCGGGGAGGGCTCGTCCCCGAGCATGGCTCAGGCCAAAGCGCAGGCCATTGCGCAGCAGCGGGCAAAGGAGGAGGCGCAGCAGCCGGGGATCGCTTTGAAACAAATGCAATGCCGAGCGAAGAAAAACAAAAACACAAGGCGCTTGCTAAGGGACAGCGCCAGCATCACTAGCATCAATTGGACCTGCCTGGCGTCGATCACAGTAAGACCCACCCGACCAACCAACCTTCCCACGCAACGACCAACCAAGCACCCAACCAAGCAAACACACACCAACCAAAAACACCCTTCTAAGGGGCCTTAATCTTCCATTCTAAACGTGCCACGCTTAGATCTCAGATCCAAGAATTGATGGTTTGTTCTTTTGGGCTGGAACCAGTCATTCAAAGGGTGTGAGGATCCAAATGTTGCTTTGCAGTATTGATCGCGCTTCCCACTACCACGTTCCACCAATCCCCTGGCGCTTTGACGGGAGACGTGGGGCGGGCATGTTTTCTTCTTCTCACGTCCTCTCCCTTCAAACAAGTTCAAGTGAAACAGCTGTGAGCTAGCTGAAAACAAGGCGGCTTTTGCATGAACACGGCTAACATGGGCCACTGATGTCCCTATGTGAGCAAGAGTCAACACACGCCATGAAGAGTTCTTTGCTTTGCCCGCCATGACATGACCAAAAGGGTGTAAAAACATGTAGTAGGCGACAGGGGGGCCATGAAAAGCGACACCCCTGTTTAGGGTTAGCGGTTTTGGATGATGAGTTGCACATAGAGGAACCCATGCAGCATTTTGGCATCAAGTTGTTTCTCGATGGCTCTCGTGAAGGTGTATTTCACTATTCATCGTTTCCTACATTAGCAAGCCAGCTCGATTTGCATGTGTGGAATCCAGCCGCCGGAACGACACCCAAAGCGACACCTTTCAGATTATGGAGCGACACCCATAATTGCTTCAAGGAGGCAGTGGCCCAAGTGGAGAGGAAACCGGCGCACGGTCTGAGAAGCCAACACCAGTAGAAACCACACTGACCCCTGTGTGCTGCTCGACCCCGACACGCCGCTCCAAAACACTTGCTGCCTAACGCGCTGGAGAGGCGGCGGACACTGTTGCCAGGCGCGCTAGGAAGCATCAAAAGCAACTGCAGCGAGCCAGAGCTGCTGCAGGCTGTCCTTAACCAGAAACGCGATTGCTCCCAGAGTTCTTTTCGGACTCCTGAGGCGAAAAAGAGCGCGCTTCGCTTGCGTGATTGTAAAGAGTTTCTACAAATTTGCGACTCACGCTCTAGAGCTGCGGAACTGTATTTCGCGTACTTGACTTGCATTACAGAACTGCGATTTTCAAGCTGGAGCTGCTGCACTGTACTTGGCGCACTAAAGTTGCGATGTTCGAGCTGGGGGTGCGAAAAGTCGAAAAGTGAGCTGCCACTTTTGTGAGCGACGGCGGGGGGTGGGGCATGAAGAACGACACCCGTAGCAGCGATGGCAGCCAGCCATGTAATGTGTTTTGACCGTATGTGGCCTTCTTCTATTCAACCACAAGAGTTGTTGACGTAAGCCGTGATCCATACCCATGGCTCCAAACATGGGAAAAACCGTTTGGGTGGGTTTGGGCATTTCTTGTCTTGAGTCACGCCATGATTGCGAAGCAGCGTGTCAGAAAAAGCAGAAACCAATATTTGTTCCAACCTGGCCCCGACCTGCAAACACTCAGCAGAAGAAAAAACATGGGGAGATGGCTAAGCTACTGGGTATGGGTGTAGTTGAAAAGAAACCTCGAACCTCAGGCCTTCAACCGGGAGCTTGGCGCCGAAAGAGCTCGGGCGCCTCAGTCCGCTGCATGCGTGTCAGGCCCAGACCGAGGATAATTTCAAGGGTTTAGATGTTCCAGTGCGACGGCGCCACGAGATTTTCGGTTGGTTCTGAAGCCGATGGCAAGTGAGTACCAAATGGCTCTAGGCTCCTTGCCTGGATGATGCAGTTGCGCAGTCACAGGGTGTTCCAGGGCCTTTGACCACACGGGATTGAACGGAAGGCCCGTGTAGCTCCTTTGCCAGAAGGCCCTCATTGCAAACCAAGTAATCAGGCTGGTTGCGACGGGGTTGTGTGGGCCGTGCGGGTCGGGTTTTTCCACATGTCAAATCCTTTGCTTGCTGCTGCCGGAGCTGATGGGGACCCGGATTCATGTGCACCCCTAGCATATAAACAATCCTCGGCAAAACAACTAGATCCCCCAGTGGTGCCCTTCTACGTTTTTTTGGGGGAGGGTTCCCCTACTCAAATAGACTACAGAGATCTACTGAAGGACCTAGATAAGAAACAGGGGACACACACACACACACACACCCCTTGACTTTGAGCTGCACTGCCGGGTGCCGGCGGCGCTTGCCGCCCAGGACACGCGCATCTTGACGACCATCACGAAAGCAACCGCTGGGGGCCCTGGTGGCAAAGGCAAGCCCTTGCCCTGTACCCTCCTGGAACATCCTGGAACCCAGGCAGCGCCAATTGGTTGGAATCTCCTTTTGGGGATTCGGCCATACTGGGCCTCCTTTAGGTGTCATGTAAATTGCAGGCGAGTAAATGTTTCTCATAGGGGCTTCAGCTGATGACATGTTTCAAGGCCTGTAGCGGGTAGCTATGAAGCTGAGCAATAGCGAAGCTCACGATTTGGTTTCGGGCGCTGACCGGCCGTTTACCCCAGCCCCTTTAAGCGGCTTCTTGCGTTGGTTTTCCAAAGATACATTTGAATCCAACTAATCAAAGGGCACTCTTCCTTTTCAGGCTGCTTTCGAAGTGTTTGATTCTTTACGGGGGTTGCACAATCCTGTCCTGCCCCAAGGTGCTAGAGCAAGAACGAGCGGAGACCAAGCGGCGCCAGCAGGCCGATGGGGCGGCTGGACGCATATAAGAAATCAGGTCCGAGTGGGCTTGAGAGATATGGGTGGTCTTCTAGATAGGGGCACCCCGTCGCTTGTTTGCTTCTTTGTTTCACCGCCCGCCTTTCGACGGGCCTGTGACTGAAGTTCTGAAGGGGCCATACTGGCGCCCCAAAGTTTGAGCCAGGGGTGTGGGGTTGTGGAACATTTTGCTTCAGTGAGTTTGCCTCAGTTCAGCAGTCGCACAGTCGCGCACATGACTGAGACGAGCATGCCCCTCACAGAATGATTCAATATTGGAATGTTGCATGGTTGATGAACTGCATTCAAATATGCAAACCCGAATATGTTGCAAGTCCTGCCTTCCCTGGTGTCCGCAACCAAACTGTTTTTCCACTTGACTGCTTGCAGTTTGAACCACCCCCAGTTGCCCAGTGGCGCCCTTTTTTACTTTTTCTTTTTGGAAAGGGTTCCCTTTTAAACTCAACCAACCAAAAAAGGATGCCCTTTTAGGCATTTCGGCTACTAATTGCTTCATGTGTGTAACGCCCACCTGCATGAAAAAATGCTTGGAACCAGGAAGCAAGCCCCTCCAAGTTATCCACTTGATTTGACAAGGCCCCTTGGCTCGTTTCGTGCCAGAGAGCCTGACGCGATCTTAGCGCGACATTGACTTCTGCACCGTGCAAACAAACGGAAACCTTAACACAAGAAGACTTGAATCAGGTTGAAATCATTAATGATGAAAACAAAGAACGGTAAGCTTGGCCCAAGTATTATAAGCCGCAGTGGATTCTTTCCGCACGGTAGCACGGGTAGTTTCGGGCTCCATTTTGTGGCTGGGCGATCACCTCACTCCACACTGAGGGTACGTACCTTCTACTTCAAGTATGTGGCGGTATTTAATTGGCTTAGAAAACTTGCTGGTCCCCAATATATCAGGGAAAAGGTTGGCATTTGGAGTAGCGAGTACATTTTACCGGCAGGTACAGTGGCGTAAGCAACGTCGAACATTTCATGACAACGGGCTTGTCGGGTGAAATGTTTTGCAGAGGTGGGAGCCAATTTGCTCTTAACCAGTCCAGTGCATGCCAGTGATAGCCATGGTGACAACCTGCTGTGGGGCACCCTCAAAAAATGCCAATCCGTCCAACTTGTTCTCTATACAAGGGTCAACTATCGATTCATCACAACCTGGGTGCCAAAAGGGTCCACGAATGAGTCTAGTAGATCGCCAGCTCAAACGCGACCGCCTCAAACCGCAGGGAAAAATCCCAGTTGTTGAGTTGGCTGGCATTTGGGCTTTTGGATTTCGTGGTTGCCAAGTTGCTCATAGGCCCAAAAGGTGGCCTCTTATTTCTGGGGCTCGTTGGCAGCGTTGGCTGGGGCGCACACGCTTATTTTTAGGGGCACCTGAACCAACTGGAAGATGGTTCATGCAATTCTGCTGCTCTCTTGCAGGAAGACCTGTCGCGTCGGCGCTTGATGGTAGAGCTGAGCAACGCACGCGAGAGGCTTGAAGCGGCGAAGCGCGGGTGTTTTCTTGGGAACGGGGTTGATGGGCTGCGGTTGGAGGGCAGTCGTGCAGTTTCGGGGATTGATGCTAGGGAACTTTTCTCCTTCAATTGTTTACCCACCCAGTCCGCGTGATATTGCTGCTTTCTTTGGGTCATGGCTAAGCCGCTTGGCCGCTGGGAGCTTCGAATGGCTTGGAATAGAACTCATCCTCGTGCAAATCTGATTGGAGGTAACCCCTCAACCGAAGTTGCGGTTAGCTTGAATGTTGGCTGAGGCAACCGGAAAACGGAAGCCTTGCTTTGAAGATCTTTGAAGAAGTAGTCTTGAGAAGATGTTTGGAGGCAAAACACAATGGAGAATAGCCTGCTGGAGCCTGTCCCCTTGAAATTCAGGCGCCATTGGTGGGCTTATTCACTTCCCTGGCTATTTCCTGCATCCCAGCAAGGTTCAAGACGTTGATGATGAGATCCTCACCCACTCCATACGACAAGTGCGCACGCATGTGTCTTTCCTTTTTGAACCTCCAAACATGGGCGTTGGGGAGGGTTGGCTGCTTTGGATGCCTCCTTGGCGTCCATGTGTCAGAAATGATGATGCTGGTGCTACGACCAACTAGGATATTCAGCCCACTAAGTATGTTATCAGCATGGTTACAAGGGGACTAACTCCAGTTACCCAACTCACAACTATGGAAAGAGAGAACCTACTTGATAAGTTGGTTGGTCATCAATCCAAGAAGTTACCAGAAGTTTGGCCAGAGTTGCCTTCGAAAGGTCAAGTCTTTCATGCGGTGTTGGCGTCGGAAGGGGTTCACGCCGAAGGCTACAGGCATGAAGTAGGGGGCCTGCAAACCAGTGCGGCAAACAACGGAAAGCGAAAATGACACTCCAGAGGGCACCCGCCCCGCGAATCACATTGAAAGGGTTAGGATAGCATCCGGCGAGAGTATCCTCTAATACAAACTTGTTTGGTTTACCTTTGGCTTGCCTTTGGTTTACCATGGTTTACCTTTTGGTTTGCTTTGGGTCTGCCTTTGGTTTGCTTAACGTTTGCCTTTGGTTTGTATTTGGTTTCGTTTTGAGTTACCGTTGGTTTGCCTTTGCATTGCCTCTAGGTTACATTTGCTTCGCCTTTGCTTTGCCTTGGGTTTGCTTTTTGGTTTTGCTTTCGGTTTGCTTTCGGTTTGCGTTTGGTCAGCTTTTGGTTTGCTTCGGTTGGCTTTTGGTTTGCCTTTGGTTTGCCTTTGGTTTGCAATAGGTGTATCTTTAGTTTGCCTTTTGTTTACCATTGGTTTGACTTTGGTTTGCTTTTGGTTCACCTTTGGTTTGCATTTGGTTTACTTTGCTTTGCTTTTGGGCGAATCCCCGTCCCTCAACAATTGCAATTTATTTTATTTTTGTTTAGGGCGGGTAGCCCTTGAAATATTTCAATTGGACCCCAACCCCGCAGAAACATGCAACCCTTTTCTGGGACGAGCGTTCGGTTTGGTGGCCGCTCAAAGCCCACAAGCAGCAGCTTCTTGGAAGCGTTGTGATTATTCTGGTGGTTTTCGAGCCATTTCCCTTTAGAGGCACCAGTTTTTGGAGGGGCCCCAGGGCCAGGCGCAAGCGGGAGAACCGTTTTGGTCGGGGTCCCATGTTTATTTTGAGCCCCTCCGTGTTTCACAATCCCCCCCCAGCTTTGGCCTGCTTTGGTCAGCTTTTGGTTTGCTTTGGTTGGCTTTTGGTTTGCCTTTGGTTTGCCTTTGGTTTGCAATAGGTTTATCTTTAGTTTGCCTTTTGTTTACCATTGGTTTGACTTTGGTTTGCTTTTGGTTCACCTTTGGTTTGCATTTGGTTTACTTTGCTTTGCTTTTGGGCGAATCCCCGTCCCTCAACAATTGCAATTTATTTATTTTTTTTAGGGGGGGTAGCCCTTGAAATATTTCAATTGGACCCCAACCCCGCAGAAACATGCAACCCTTTTCTGGGACGAGCGTTCGGTTTGGTGGCCGCTCAAAGCCCACAAGCAGCAGCTTCTTGGAAGCGTTGTGATTATTCTGGTGGTTTTCGAGCCATTTCCCTTTAGAGGCACCAGTTTTTGGAGGGGCCCCAGGGCCAGGCGCAAGCGGGAGAACCGTTTTGGTCGGGGTCACCATGTTTATTTTGGGCCCCTCCGTGTTTCACAACCCCCCCCCCCCCTCAAAAGTGCAACAAAAATTGAAATTTCACTGCGGTACTCCCCCCCTCAATTTAAAATTGTTAGGGGGGAATATTTTTGGGCAGCTTTGGCCTGATTTGGTTTGCTTTTGGTTTGCTTTTGGTGTTCCTGTGGTTTGCCATTGGTTTGCTGTTTGCCTTTGGTTTACCTTAGGTTTGCGTTTGGTTGGCTTTTTGTTTACGGTTGGTTTGCTTTTGGTTTTCCCTTGGCTTGCTTTTGGCTTGCCTTTGGTTTGCCATTGGTTTTCCTTTGGTTTGCTTTTGGTGTGCCTTTGGATTGCCTTTGGTTTACCTGTGGTTTGCGATTGGTTTTCCTTTGGCTTGCTTTTGGCGGCTTTTGGCTTGCTATTGGTTTGCCTTTGGTTTTCTCTTGGCTTTCCTTTGGTTTCATTTTGCATTTCCTTTGGTTTGCCACTGGTTTGCTTTTGCTTCGCTTTTGGTTTGGGTTTGGCTTGCTTTTTCTGGCTTTGGTTCGCTTCTGGTGTGCGTTTGGTTTGCTCTTGGCTTTCCTTTGGGTTCGTTTTGGCTTACCTTTGGTTCGCCATTGGTTTTCCTTTGGTTTGCTTTTGGTTTGCCTTTGGATTGCCTTTGGTTTACCTGTAGTTTGCTATTGGTTTATCATTGGTTTGCTTTGGCTTGCTTTTGGTCTGCTTTCGGTTTACCTTTGGTTTGACTTTGGTTTGCTTTTGATTTACCTTTGGTTTGCTTTTGGTTTGGACTTTGATCTGCTTTTGGTTTGCCTTTGGTTTGACTTTGGTTTGTTTTTGGTTTGCTTTTGGGTTGCTTTTGGTTCACCTTTGGTTTGCCTTTGGCTTGCTTTTAGCTTACCGTTGGTTTGCTGTGGGTTGACCTTTTGTTTGCCTTTGGCTTACCGTTGGCTTGATCTTGGTTTGCCTTTGGTTTGCCTCTTGTTTTTCCTTTGGTTTGCTTTTGGGTTGCTTTTCGTTTGCCTTTGGATTGCCTTTGGTTTTACCTGCGGTTTGCCATTGGTTTTCTTTTGGCTTGCTTTTGGCTGCTTCTGGTTTGGGTTTCGTTTGCTTGCTCTTGGTGTACCTTTGGTTTACTTATGGTTTGCCTTTGGTTCGTTGGGCCCAAGCCAGCTAGACCCAAGTCAGAGAAAGCCAATATCTGCACAACCCTTCTAAGCGCTAACGCGCATGCGCTCCCGAAATGCTCAGCCAGCACATTGGCCCAACGAAAACTGCCACGCTGAAAATTGCCGGAATATTAGCAACGACAGGGGGTCTTTGCGATGATCAGAGCTTGCGCGGATGCAATCAGTGTGTAGGATGTTCCAACAGGTGAGGTAACGAATGGAAAGCACGACCAAAATACTGAACGGCGACAGACTCCAAACTTACCTACTGAAGAAGCGAGCGCCCGCAGACCGAACGCGATAGCCAGTGAACGCCGTAAAAATTAGCCGTCTTTTTGAAGCCATTGCTCACACGAAAAAAGGATCCGTGGACACGCCAGGAAACAGCTCGAATCAGTCCCAAGGAGCAAAATGAAGCCCCAGCATCCCCGACATCCTGAGCCAGCACCCCCAGCATCCCCAGCATCCTCAGCATCCCTGAGGCAGGTCCAAGCGCGAAACACGCAAGCAGTAAGCAAGCAAGGAGAAGCGGAGAAATAGCCGTCTTTTTTTTGCCCAGAAAAGGCAAAAAAAGGAACGCAAAACGAGCCAGCTCAACTCAGAAAGCACCTCACAAAAGCGTGCAACGCAGGTTTTTGCAAACACATGCAGCGAGCGAGCCATTCCCGGACAGATGGAAAAGACTCCCAAATTTCAGCCGTCTTCTTCTGGCGCGAAATTCTGCAAATCAGATAATCAGGCCGACCAGCCGAACCCCCCCCGTGTGTTCTGTTTCTCAGACCATTGATCTCCCGCAACATTTGGCTCAAGGGCCCCTTTTGCATAATCACGACCATCCGAGCGTGAGGACAAAAGAGCCATTGCAGGCCGCTTACAGGATTATCCACAAGACAATCCACCAGGGACAATCCATCCTCCAATCATCCATTACTGGCATATTGGGCTCTCTCCGGAATAGATCCAGGGACCAACAACGACCTCAACTACCACAGGGTTCCAGTTCCCTTCGGGGATAGGCACCCAATTTGTGGTAGCGGAGCGGGTTTTCCGCAGAGATCCAAGGGAAGATGTCATCAGATGGAGAAGGCTTCATGGAAGCCTATACAAGTTCGGCAAAGCCGAGCTATACGGAGGAAACGCTAAATTTATCGATGACCGCCAAGCAGCCGCCATCGTACGACGGAAAAGTCAGCTGGTTCAGGTATGAAGAACTCGTGGACGACTGGGTGACCATCACAACGGTGGAAGCACCAAAGAGAGGACCTCTCCTGAAGAGTAGACTTACTGGAGATGCATATATGTACAAGGCAGTCCTCCAAAATGACCTTTTGCAAGATCCTGATGAAGGAGTCAACTATTTCAAGAACACGCAGAAGAAGTACTTTTTGAACGGTGCGACCAACGTGTATCTGTACAGACTCCTCAGTTCTTCAACCATAGAAGGCAGAACCAAGAGTTCCTCATTTTTACCTCAAAATTCGAAATCCTTCTCATGAGATTGAAGGCAGCATGGATGGACTTGATGCCCGTTTTCACGGCACAGTCCCCATCATTTCGACAGTCCGTACAGGACGCAAATGCAAGAACAATTGCTCGACATCAGCAAGCAGCCGGTGCTCGAGCACCGCCTCCAGCCCTGCTCAATGAGGACGATCCTACAGTCCTCAGACAGTATATCCAAGGAATGCAGGACAGACAGCGG